CAGTGGAAATACACCTTGGCGAACTCGAAGTCTGTTTTTGTGTACATGGCCAGCGTGGGGCAAATATCGAGAAGAATCGTCTTGCGGACTCGCTCGGGATGGTCAACGCACAGCTTATGGGCCACCCGTGCGCCGCGATCATGGGCGCAGACGAAGAAGGAATCGACAAAGCCGAGGGCGTCCATGACGGCCACGCAGTCGCGGGCCATGGCGCTCTTTGCATACGCCGACAGTTCGTCTGGCTTGGACGACTCGCCGTAGCCGCGCAGGTCGATGAGCACCACGTTGAACTTGCCCGCCAGCTGGGGAGTGACGCGGTGCCAGATATGTCTGGTCTGAGGAAAGCCGTGGATCAAGAGGATCGGCGGAGCGGCCGGAGAGGCATCGCCGCTCTTCAATCCGCGGATCGTGACATCTGGGTCAGACTGTGTCTTGATGGCGAACGGCTGGAATCCTTCAAACATGCTGGGCTCGTTAGATTTATTTTTTCCTTTCTATCTCAAGCTTGGGTGAGTTTATTATCAGCACGAGTAAAGTTGACCGGCTCCAAATGGCTGGTTTTAATAATCACCGTCATCTGGTAATGACGCCCCTCACTGGCTCATGCAAGTGAAGTCATAGCCGAGCAAGGGCTCGGTTTACATGCGGCTCAACATTTAAGCGCTCACTATGGACGGCTAAGGCTAGAGCGACAAATATCCCGCTCACATGCTAGTCTGCACAGCGGCACTCTCTGCAGATGCATAACAAAACCTCTATCGGCAAAACAAGTGCCCTTCCCTGCCTCATCCAAAGTCTCAGCCCATTTCCATTTGCCCGACATCGCATGGCGTCGGTGCGAGGTCGCGCGGCATGCAATGGGTGCCGAGCGCGCAAGCAGAAGGCGAGTGTCCGATCCCCGCATCTCAAATATCATCTATGTAGTGATGTTAAAATATCATCTATGTAGTGATGTTAAAATATCATCTATGTAGTGATGTTATTAGACAACCAACTGACTTTATTATTTCAGTGTGACGAATCAAGGTACGGCTCCCTCTAAATTAGTCTTCTCATCCTCTTCCTCTTTTGTCGGACTTACTGACGGGTCGGCGCAAAAGGCCAGTCTGCTCGAGATGCCGCACCCTAAACCAACCTTGTATCTGGCCAGTATCACGCAAACGGTAAGATGAATCCACAGCCAGCTTCTGTTTGCCACCTTTGCGCACAGTTATTCAATATATGAAGTTAAAAAGCTTGCATTTGACACAACTCCATCTTAATAGTGGCCCGGCCAAAGGATATACCGACGCCCTAGAACATCGGCTAAGGGAGACCGAAACTGCCCTATTACGCCTTTGGATGGCTACAGCTGAGGATTCCGTCGAGCTAGCATTCGGAGACAAGGTCCATCTGCCAGATAGCAGTTCCCTTTCGCCGAATTATGGGCAGCAAACCCCTGCCCGTACTGGGTCTGACAAGGCCCATGTAGCCTCTCAGTGGGAAAACTTCCCCCTTACGTCTGCACAAGATATTGGCAGGTGGGCTAGAGAAGCCAAAGGAGCAGCCAAAGCATCCGAGAGTCGGAGCATGAGAGACGACTCGGTGTCACTCAATCCGGTGTCATTCAATCGCGCACCAGAACCGCCAAGCGTTGCCGTGAGCCCTCCTGTCCTACTGCACACCAGAAAAGCAACTCTACCTAGCACGATTTCGACAACGCCACCTGCATCAAGAGCCATGCTTTCCAACGCAGCTACTACATTAACCCCTGAAACGCAGTTCACTCAAGAAGTAGACGTGTCTGCGACAAGCACGCCCAACTACGCAGCTCGGATTCACAACCGCGGCCAAGAAGCAAGCAACATATTACACTCAGACAGTCCAACCCCAAGCACGAAAGCCAAGATCCGATTGTCTCAAGAATTCGCGGACCAGTATCTATGGTAGCATTTCTATCATTTCTTTCTTGAAATTGATCTTCTCACACCAATCGAACCAAAGGTGTTTGGGTGTCTATGATTCGGACACGTACTGGTCGCAGTGCCAAGTCTTTGAGAACAGTGTACCATTGACAAGCAGCCTTACCTCGGGACATCCAATACCTCGGGACATCCAATACCTCGGGACATCCAATACCTCGGGACATCCAATACCTCGGGATATCCAATACCTCGGGACATCCAATACCTGGGGGCAACCGAGACTAAAATGCAAGGCTCCGTTGTTCGATGGCGAATAGCGATGGATCAAGCGCTGGCAACGCGTCTTCCAATACTCCGTTCTCCAACTCCGTTCGTTCAAATTCTGGCCAAAACACTAGGCACCAAAGCGACCCCCAGGCCCTTGAAGATTGGAATCCCAACCCATACTGCTGAACAGGCTACCCATTTCAGTGTCTTGGGCGCCACTGAACAAATCTTGGCCTCCAATATGGGCCGCGTCAAACCCGAAATCAGGACCCGTGTATTCCATGACAGGCATCCAATCCTCTGCCCCAAACGGATCTTCATCGGCTACAATATTTGCACCTGTGTACTGCAGTGGGCCCTGGTGCCATACCGTCATCTCGTTGTATAGTCTCTGTCGTTTAGCGCTTCTGCCTTCGGGTATTGCAGTTGTTAATGGCTCCATGTCAATCGGTTGGATCGAGGCATGGTACGAAAGCCTTGAGGGATATACTTTCGGGCCCATATCGACTGGCGAAGGGCCGAAGCGATCATTTAAACGTTGGAGAAGCGCTTTAATAGCTTCTCGGCAGTGACGCGCGCTTGTCCACCGAGATGCCATGGCCTCTAATATTGCGAGGCAATGGCCAAGATCTCTGAAGTGCGAGTTAGCTATGCAAAACATTACTGGCACAGACAAGAGATGTTTAAAATAATGCAATGAGCCAAGTACTTACGAATTAGCCTTTGCGTTTGGATACAATTCCAAAAGGCTCGCAAAGGCAATGACCAATCCGGCCATCCATACAGCTGATAAAGTTGCTGGCCAAGCCATGAGGAAGACATTGTCCGTATGCCACTTGAGTTTCACAATGATGTTGCGACTTGCACTCAAGGCCATCTGAACACTAGATTGGAAATCCTGATTGTCCGGTGGGAGCGAGAGAAACGGTCGATGGATCAGCAAGATTAAATAGTTGTGAAGCATGTTGAAGAACACTGAGTGGGACGGCTGACGATTAGGCGAGCCGTCGCGCACCTCATCCTGAAATGTAGGAGGGAGCCCATTCCACCAACACTGGATTCGATAGGTTATATCCCGAATACTTTGAGAGCTAATATTTCGAGTGTGTATTGATCGGTGAAACAGATGGACAACTTCACCAAGCAACTGCGAGTATGTTGCGAGATGACTCAAGATAAATTCCCTTGCTTCTTTGCCGGCAGCAGTGTAGTGTTTTGATGGGCTTTGTGCGGCAAGAATATCATGGGTTGTCAAGACTTCGCTTGGCCGACTACCTGGATCTGGCCGAGCAGAAGGATTTCCAGCCAGATAACCAGTTTCGACCTGGTTCACCGGTAAGTGGCCAAGAACTTGTTCATTCAGGGCAGCTTGTGAGGTGGCAGCGTTCTCTTTGGTTTTGACTGGCCGGTGTAATTCGATCATCCCCGGTATACAGACATCCACATCCGCGTCTTGGATGCTAAACGGATGGCCTAGCGCCTGGCCAATGTAACGGTCTAAGACGTAGGCACACCAAAATATGCGCTTCCGGATGCCATATGTACTGGGAGGGAGTTGATGATAGCGTGAGGGACACCGGTGAAAACCGGAGTTATGCATAGATCGGGCCAGGGCACCTTGGATTGTCGATGCTGCCCGGAGTGACATGGTAGAAATGAGGTACAGCTCTGCGGCCAAGAGAGCCTGAAGGGAAACGGCATCATGACTGGAAAGGAGGTTTCCGATGACGGAAACAAATGCGTGCGCTGATTGAATGCGATATGCAGGCTCCAAGCTGTCGCTATTTGATGTCGAGGCGGCAATGTTAAATATGCTCTGGAACATGACTGCCCGACACAACTTCCAGTTCGGTTGACGGTTGAGTGGCAAGTCGGGACCGAGATCGTCACCATAGAAGTGGTTGACCTGTTCGACAAAGGTCGGCCCATGTAGAAACGGAAAGAATGGATGCCAATGGCGGAAGAAATTCATGAGGAGTTTCTGGGCCTTGTCTGCGGGAGGGGCGATGCCCAAAGCAGGAGCATCGACGCCATAAGACCGTGTTCCGGGGCTTGTGCTTGAAGCCGCCTCTGCGGTTTGTGCTCGCCCATCATTGCCTACTGATGGAAGCTCATCATTAATTTCAGGAGCAACAAGATATGTGTGAGCTGAGCCTGGGTCAGGGCCCTCGGCATCAGCGGCAGCATTCGCAACAGGGCCGACGTCAGCGCTACTGTCACGCTGCGGTTCAGACGCGTCCCCAGCGGCGGCTGATGCTGCCATGGCGAAGGCGCGGAAGACGGTATCGGCGAAGAAGACGCCGCTGGCGCTTCCAATGAATTCGCTGTCGTTGGATGGCAGCGCGACAAAGGATCCAATCTCAACGGTTGGCAAGCGGTTGCTCACAGCACCACCGCTGGGTAGCCCTCGAGGTGGCACCGACATTACGATCAACAACTCCAATTGATTCCCATGGATGGACTGGTAGCTGTGTGACTGTTGACCAGCAGGCTTGTCAGCGTGTCAATCATCGTCCCAAGATGCTGCAGCGCTTAGAGTTTGGCGGATCTGGTGATGGTTTGTCGGGTTTTCTTTCTGCCGCGTCCCCATCATGATGCTCCAGCGATTGACCAACGGGGAGTAATCAGGATGTATTTTCAAGTCAGTGTTGGAGGCCTTGAGTTTTATGTTGCAGAATAGCCAACACAGTAATTAATGATGCGACATCAACTGAGATCGATTGTATAGGTAGTGAAGAGAGGAGGACTGTTGAACGATTGCTACCCGGTATCGTCATGCACAAAATATATGTGCAATTTCAAGCCAGAGAAGCAACAACAAATAGTCCAGCTCATGTGGTATAGTGGTTAGCATTTCAGTTTGTGGATCTCTGTCTATCAACTCACTGACGACGGCGGTTCGATTCCGCCCATGGGCATTTCTTTTTGCTCTTCGTTGAAGTGCATAAACTCTGATTGTGTGTGTGGGCCCAGAAGCTAAAATCCGGGAACACGGCTCTCTCTTAGAACTCTTTCTTTATGGCTTCGCAACTGAAGAAATGGGTAGCATTAGGGTGCTTTTTAACATCCCACAAGCTGTGTACGGAGTACCTGGAGAATGATTATTCAGTCTTTTTTGTTTCAATTTTTTTCCCCCGGGGCGAGTACTTCGTATAAACAAATGTGACGAAAGACTTCAAATACGAACGCTTCGTCTTCGCACATTCACTGTCCTCTCTCTCCAGCACACTAAGTGATGTCCGTGCAGGGCTTGTTATCGTCTACGCCCCTATGAGTTGGCTTCCAACTCCAATAGTGAGTAATGATATCGAATGGTTGGGAGTATGCAGCTGGCTATTGTGAGGTATCTGATATATCTCATGGGCTTATCTAACAGCATGGGAGGGCGGGAGCGGGAACGGGTTCTGGTGGGACTACCGTAACAATTCATGTTCTGTAGATCGTGGGCGAGGACGTCCCGCGGTTGGTCGCGTGTAACATTCTATAGATAGCTGGGGTTTGAGGCTGGGTCGGTTCCTAGTGAGCCAATGCTATCGCCGAGCTTGCCGCTGGGGCGGGGAGCGCATCTTCATCTGTGACCAACATGCATAACGGCTGTCACACCCGCCAAAGTATCAAGGCATGTGTTTATTTATTTCACCAAGCTCGTCTGGCTTTTCTCCTGCAACTTCTTCCCCTTCTGTTTTATCTTCTTAACGAATCTCTTGCGGTTCTCCAGCTGCCGGTTGGCCATTCTATTGTATTGAAGTTATGCCCGCACGACAAAGAACGTGACACTCTCACACCTAGTCACCATGGCGAGCGCACAAGAGGCAGAGCAGATTGTCGGGCGCCTCACCAGAAAGTATGGATTCCTCAACGAGAAGATGATGGACGACATCGAGGGGTTCAACTCTGATTACCGTCGGGAGATTGACGAAAACTGGCTGGCCATGGAAAGCGCGGTATCGCACTCTGTCAAAATGTGAGTATCTGAGCCAAAACCTTTGGCTACGCGTCTGCTAATTGTTTGTCAGATTAGCCAAGCAGATCTATGGTAGTGGCGCTCGATTCGTCTTTGAACTTCTTCAAAATGCCGAGGATAACGTTTTTACTAAGGCTGATGCACGCAAGGTACTACGTTTCATATCCTTCAAAATGCATCCGAATCACATCATCGTGGATTGCAATGAAGATGGATTCACCAAGGAGGATTTACAGGCTATTTGCGCTGTCGGACAAAGCACAAAGTCGTCTTCCCACGGATACATCGGTGCTAAGGGCATTGGTTTCAAGTCGGTATTCATCGCCGCGTCTAGAGTTCACATCCAGTCCGGGAATTTCTCGTTCGAGTTCCGACACAACAAAACGGACCCAGGTATCGGCATGGTCAGACCAATCTGGGTCAATCCTGTCGAGACCAAACCCGGGACTTTGACTCGCATGACACTATACCTCCACGACCAAGGAGATCCAGGCGAAATTCAACATTTGAAGAGGATCATCTCCATGCAATTCAATGAGCTGCAGGAAACATGCTTACTCTTCCTCCAAAAACTTCAGCAAATCAGCGTAGAATTCTACGACGAAAATGGCGAGCTCCAGCGATCGAAACAGTTCCGCAAGCATGAAATTGACAAACATCGCGTGTCTTTGAAGACTACTTCCATTATTCACGGAGAAGAAACCATACAAAATCAGATCTACCACATCACAAAGCAGACAGCGACTGGCTTGGCGCGGAGCGATAACCGTGAGCTTCCTGATACCGACGAAGCTCGAAGAAGTTCCTCCATGGCCGAAGTTGTTTTAGCTTTCCCGCTCACAGGCGAGTCCAAGCCACTTGTGACTCGAAAGAAACAAGACCTCTTCGCATTTCTGCCTCTCAGAAAATCCGATTACAAGGTTAGTTTGATCACTTCTATCCCGCAATTTGCACAATGCAAGCATATGCTGACTGCTACTAGTTTCTCATTCACTCTGACTTCGACACGAATGCCAACCGGCAGGATATTGTCACCACATCGCGAAGAAACCTTGACCTCCGTGGTTGGATCGCGACCGCGTTCATTCGAGCGGTTTTACAATTCTGCGAGCATCCTACCCTCTGCTATGACTGGCCAACGTTTCTCCCATCCTTGGATGATAGTTCCGATGCATTTTGGTCTGGTCTAGATCAAGAAATCAAGGACCTGATGAAGAAAAGGCATGTTTTGAGGTCGCGCAATCGAACTGATTTGCGTCTCATCAACCATATTTTCATCCTCACTAGCGATGCGAAAGACGGAGACGGACAACCTGTATTTGAAGACCCAGCCAGGGATATGTTTCTTTCACCAAGCTATTCTCAGACGGCGGTGAATATTCTCAAAGACTACGGGCTGCAGTTTGTAACTGCAAGTGATTTGCTCACTTTGCTGGAGACCGATCTCCATAGTGCAAACTCAAAAATGCGCGGGAAAAAAACGACTGATGAGTGGCACTCGGTTGTCGCACGAATGCTTTCTCGGTGGTTCGAGAAGAAGTTTTCAATTGTGGCACGCCTCAAAACTCTACCTTTGTTTCCTTTGAGAGATGCAGAATTCACATCAACTGCGTCAGGGCCGGTCTATTTCCCAGCGACAGGTGACATCGACATTCCTCATACCTTGGACCTCAGGGTAATCAGTCGTTCGGCGTCTAAAAATTCTGATCGGACCACCTTATTTCGGCACCTAGGAGTCTCCGAGGCTACTGTTGGTCAAGTAAGAGCCTCGATCTTCAGGTATTTCAGCTCAAATTCGAGCCGATCGTTTAAAACACTCAAGGCCTACCTCGTTTATCTTTACCTGACACACCAGCCTGCCGCACACACACAAGAAGGATACGCAAAAGTGCAGGTTGTCTGTAATAGCTGGACGCGTAAAACTCCTCATTTGACAGACATTTACCTTCCTGGCACGAATCATGCCTACAGCCCCGAAAGCCTCTTGGCTGCCCAAGGCACTGCACCAGGCCTGTCTGTGGAATTTTTGTATTCGTCCAACATGGAAGATGAACCAGATAAGCCGAACTTATTTCACCCAAGTTGGGAAAGGTGGCTTTGTGATTCCGTTGGCATCCGTGAGCGACTGCGACTCTTGTCACGCAATGGAGACGCTTTATCGGATGCTTTCCTATACGTCTTGGAGCATCATCCGGATAAGTTTTTGGGTTTATTTGAGCATCTTTGGTTGCACGAGAGGTCAAATCTGTTGAGGAAACGGACTCTCCGATCTCAGATTGAGAATCTTTCCGCCAAGCATCTCTGCGGAGTGAATTTCTCACTCAAGCTGAAAGAAACTTGGCTTCCCTTCAAGAATCTGCGAGACCCCGTCAAGCGCCACATGGAACATCCGGAGCAATTCCCTTTTCTGAAAGTCGAGGACTCAGACATGACTCAACTGTTTGGAACAAGATGGGATTTCCTAAACGAGTATTTTTCGGTCGGGAAAGATGACAGCATGGACTTCCTTATTGAAATACTCCGCTGTGTCGAGAGGTCGTGTCCTGAGCCTTCTCTTAGTCAGTCCCAAAAGGTGTTTGACTTATATTTCGTCATCTACGCTAAGCTTGCGGTGGCCGATGAACCAGAAGCACGACGCAAGATTAGGTAAGTATATAGTAGTTTTGACCTAGTCATGTTACCAATTACTGATTGCGAATAGGGACTACTTTGATGAACGAGGCATCCTCAATCTAGACAAGAAGAAACCTGGGTGGACACATTCTTCTGCTTGTTTATGGGTCGCGCCCGCGGATATGGAAACGTTCTATTCACTCCACATTACTTACTCAAGAAGGTTAAATGATGAGAAAATGAGAAATATTGAGTCTCTCTTTCAAAAAACGCTCGAAATACGGAACGCTTCATTGGGTGATTTGGTGGCTGAGCTAGAATTCCTTCGGGACACGGGTTGTGAGGATCAAGGTCGCATGCAGGCACTCTATAAATACCTGGATGAGGACATCGCGCCTACACCTGATATGAGGTACGTTCACATTAATTTTAGTTTCATCAGGATTGTTTTAGGCAGCAGGCTGACACAAAAACAGAGCTGCATTTGAGGCATCTCACCTCATCTATCACGAGACGCGACAAGGCGAGTCGGGTTGGTACAAGACCTCTGATTGCGTGTGGTCCAGTGAGACAGCGATTCGCGGTAAAGCCATTCTAGATGAGTGTTGGGAGGGTAGAAAGCTCTTTTTTGTTGGCAAATTGGGGGTCAAGTTGCTCACCCTACAAATGGTTTACGATGAGCTGCGACAGTCGCCTGAGAGCAGCGTGGGCGATGTCAAAGTGGCTATCTTGTTGCTAAATGGCCTCCTGGACACAGAGGCAACCCGTTTGGACCCAGAACCAATCAGAAAAGCCAAGATCTTTCCCGTTAGGTATCCCAACGGGACTGTTGTGTTGACCTCTGTGGCTGTGGACTTTGCGATCGGAGATCGAGATAAGCTGAAAGCGAAGTTTCAGGACAAGATTAGTCTTTTGGACTTTGATCTAGATGACGTTCGTCTTCTCAAGCCACTCTTCGACTGGTTGGGCTTCCAAGATCGGTACTTATCCAACGCTGTCAAAGAAAGCACTTCAATCTCCAGCGATTCGGGGCGTCCGATCTCATCACGCAATCGAGACCTGAAACGCAAAGCTTACTATATCGCTCGGTACGTACTGAAAAAGATGAGTACTGTTCGAATGATGCTGATTATGCCCTACCAACCAGAGTCGCATCTACCTTTCACAGCCCGCGATTTAAATACGACCAGGAAGAGCTCTATGAGCAGCTGCGCACAATGACAGTCATGGAGATTGATGGAATATCCTCTGTATTGAAGATATTCCAAAACAGGCAGCCATTCCAAGTCGAGGTGGCTGCCAACGAGCACATTGACGAGACTTCAGAAGGGCTCAAGATTT